TAAGAGTCACCATTATTTGGCTCTTCTAACAATATATTTTTCCACACACTTAGCTCTTGCGGCCTAATTTTAGTGTCACTTTCACACACTGCACAGATACATGACCAAATATACTTTCCCTTAGGAACCCTTTGTCATGAAATCATAATGTTGAAGCATGCCTTGTCATATCAAAATTGCTCATCACTCATAATCATCATTGCATCACGAAATATGAAGTACTTAGCCTCCGTGCCTAAGTTACCCAAATACTTTCATCATTGAGTCAACCATTGAGATAGCCTAGGATGGATTAATCCTTGAACCTTGAGAGATAGTATCAAATGACATTTGACTAAGCTCATTCAACATGCATCTTCAAACTTTTGATTTTCTTTTTCACGTCTTTCTTTTTCGGGAGAAAGTCGGTACCCTCCACAAATTGACGGAAAATTTTTACTTTTCTGCATTTTCGAGTCGCACGATCACATTACAATGCACACACGGGTCTTGAGTCACACGTGTCTTTTCACTTTGAGTCGAGTCAACCTCGAGTCAGTCAAACATATCGAGTCAAGTTTATACCTTGAGTCGTGTCAAGTCAATAAGCAACGTTAAGCCTTAGGTCAACCCTAAGATGATTAAAGAGATTGGCAAAGTTCTATAGTCAAAATAACTACAAGCAGAACAGGGAAGACCCTATCGCAGCGTTCGCGGCGAACAGAGCAAGAAATAAAACAGAAAATTGAATTTAAAGAAGAATTCGTGCTGGCGCCAGTCCCTAGGCATTGGCGTCACTTTCTGTGCTTGGCACCAGACGCCAATTCCAGCGCCTGGCGCTAATGCCATATGTTTGGTGCTGATTGATTTTCAGCGACGCCAAAGCAGCCAGCCACCTGTTGGGGTTGTGCTAGCCTTCTGCAATATGTTTTGGGTTCCTTGGTACGCCAGTTAGCCCCTCTAAGCAATTTGACATGATTAGGTAATCGGCTTGATTATGTAAAGTGATCGACCTGATGAAAAGATGGTCTCACTAAGCTTAAAGCGCCTAGGCATTGGCTTAAAAGCAGAAAAGGCACCGACGTATAGGTTCAAAGCAACGAAAGCGCCGACGTACAGGCATAGCAAAAGCAAAGTTCAGACGAACTTTTAAAGATCTACAGGCGTGGGTCTTTGGTATTTTTTCTTTGGAATATTATCGCAACAATTGAGGATGACTTCAAGTAAAGTTATTTTCGACAGCGTTCGCTAAGATTGTGGAAGTTGTCACCAAAGATTTGAGAAGATAGCACGAGATGGGCGGTCTTCGACAGCATTCGCTAAGATTGTGGAGGTTGTCACCAAAGATTTGAGAAGATAGCACGAGATGGGCGGTCTTCGACGGCATTCGCTAAGATTGTGGAGGTTTTCACCCAAGATTTAAGAAGATAGCACGAGATGGGCGGTCTTCGACGGCATTCGCTAAGATTGTGGAGATTGTCACCCGAGATTTGAGAAGATAGCACGAGATGGGCAGTCTTCGACGACTTTTGCTATGATTGGAAAGGTTGTCACTATGATTCAAGAAAAGGCTCAAGATGTAGCAACATTGATCGACGGCGTTCCCTAGATTGCGGAAGATCGTCAAAACAAACAGCAAGGTGGCGTTCCCTAGATTGTGGAGAGTTGTCACAAACAACTGAGGATTGTTTCAAGAGAAGCAATCTTCGATAGTATTCCCTTGGACGTGGAATGTTATCAATGCGGATGAGGATTGTTTCAAGAGAAGCAATCTTCGATAGTATTCCCTAGGATGTGGAATATTATCATTGCGGAGGAGGATCGTTTCAGGCAAAGCAATCTTCTAATTTGGAAGCAGTTACAGGTGTAGCGGTTTTCAAGCGGGATGGCATTCTCTAGCTTGCAGGAGGTCATCAAAACAACCACAGCAACAATCGGTTACTTTCAGAGACGTGTGCTCGACGGTGCAAGATACGCGTTTCTTAACTCTTTTATCTGTTTAACTAATGCTAGTTTTGCAGGTATCGGCGTTATAAGATTGATTTAGGATCGCAGAACGTTCTGAATCATTCTCCGTCCCTATCGATACTTTGACTTTCGTTTTCGAAACTTGCGTTTCTCTAAACTCAGTCAAAGTGGGGGCTTCTGTAGACACCCATTTGTGTCTCCCCAAAACCAAACCCAGTGATGAGTGCCTTTCACGTCGAATCATAATCGAATGAAACGAAAGTGTGGAAAGGTCTAGTGTTGCGGAAAGTTTTATTTCTTTTCTTTTCTCTTCTCTCTGTTTTTGAAAACTTTATTTTAAGAAAACAGCCAATCCAATTCCACTAACAATTGAGGAATACGCACCCAGGCCGTAAGGAATTTAATTGGTGCTTCATCTGGCACGAAATTAGAGACCCATTTTCTTAGTCATTTAACTATCTCCGATTATCTATGGCCCCTGAGTGAACACAAAATGATAATCCTCCACATTTGTAAACCGGACTATATAGTAGGCAAATCCCACATCAGTAAGAAAGATGTCACCCTTTAGGCTCCATTTAAGCCTTAAATGTTTGATCAGAATCTCATAACTAAGCTTTTTATCAAACAACTTAGTCTTTAGCGCATTTTGCCATGGCTTTCTCAGCCTCTTCTTTTACTCTTTAGTAAGCAAGAAATTAGGGCATGATTCATCCTCCGAATCAAAATCCAGAGGCACATCATCATCCGATTCGAAATCATCATCAACAAACTTGACAATATTCAATTGACCATTAGCCATTCCCAACTGTACCCCTCTTTGGCCATATTGCTATATGACATTCTAGGATTTCTTGGTTGATCTTCCTAGGAGTTTCCTCAACAACTGAGACCATTTACACATATGGGATTATTGGCTCACCAGATCCTAAATCTTGCGGTGAATTATCTGGCGTTCTTTTGAATTTCTTATTTGATCTTCTCATGAGATCGATTTCCTTAGTAGAGAGTTCGTTCGCTCTCCATTTTTCCTAGTTTTCTGGATAATATATACTCCTTTTGTCTAAATCATTTATAATATAAATTCATGATTACATACTATAAAGGCTTAATATGATTAATCAAAATACATTACAATTTTTTTGTAAGATAAAATTAATTATTAGAAAAATAACAACTTTTGTAGTATAAAGGGTAACTTTAAGTAGTTTTAAGATAACTTTAATTCGTCTTACAATAAATTAATGTACTCCTACCTTTTTGGAGAATTTGTGTTATTTCAAAATGTTTTGAAGAAATTTTGTGACACTTAAGTGATAAACATTATGAATAATAACACTTTAGATTTTTTTATTTTTAAAAAAAAAATTGGTTGAAGATGATAAGGGTTTTGTGCCAGTTTATTTACTATTAGAATATTTGTCCTTTTATAAAAAAAAATAGATAATAGGATTATAAACTTTAGGTTACTTCTACAAGTATATGTTCATTGAAGAGCCAAAAGTATAAGTTTTGTTCAAAATAAGACCCCGATGAGCATTGGGTCATCCGACTTCTCAACATTTTAAGCTGGCTGGATGCCCGGATTAGGGGTACCTGCTGGACCTGTACTCCAGCCTAAAAAAAATCATCCTCAGAAGATTTACAACTACCCGTACAACATTTGCTTCAATTCCACCATCTTAAAACATTGGGCTCACGGGTTTACTCCTCGCCCCAAATAATCGGCCCACCACCTCAACTAACAACCACAAAGACAAGGAGTTGAATCCAAGTACTACCTCCGTTTCATGTTTTTTGCAACTTAGGGGTATTATTTGTGAAACATAAAATATTCCAAAGTTGCAAAAAGATGAAACAGAGGTAGCAGTATGTTTTTACTCGGTATGTTTTATGTTTTAGCGTAGGTAGAGTTAAAAGGGCAATGATGTAGACTGTTTTTGATCCCAAACTAACTACTTCTCTAAGAATACAATCGATTATATTAGTTGGCATCCTCTAAATCTATGTTGTTTACTCTAGCAAATGAGATTAAGTGGATGATCTAAAACTTGAGATTAAATTTAATTTTCATCATTTGTATGGTACATTGTAACTCCTTTGATTTTTTTTATTTTTAACAAGAACTCCTTTGAAGTTACTGGTTTATAAATTCGCGACATGGGTGTTAGTTTTCTATAAATATTGTACATTGTCTTAATTTTCGATAAATATTGTACATTGCCTTAACCCATTATGCTTTGTGATTGAACAAAGTAGGGCATAGTCCTTTACTATTAGCTTCCACAATTTAGAAGGGCCAAAGACTTTTTGAATATGGTTCATTGGCTATATTTATGGTTGAATTTGTGCCATGAGTTTAAGGGGTCAATCCTCAAGCCTTGTCCTACATATGGGCTATTCCACTTGAATTGCGGTTTTCAGTGAATGATCTTCAAATCTATGGGCAACTCATTGTGGATCTCAATGTTTGTGTAGGCCTATCTAACCAATTTCAATGGGCCTGCTTATAATACATAACATCACCAACATAGGTTCTATTTTTAATATTTACCCAATTTATTTGAGATGAGTTTTTTATTTTATTGACATTTTGTATTAGTTTCTTTTTCAATACGGTAATACCAAAAAATCAATTTTTTTTTTTCCCGATAGTTAATCTTTGTTGAAATATTTGTAGGGGCCGTTTGGTTCGTTTGATTGGAATGGGTCGGTATGCAATTTCTAATAGTGGGCTCTAAATTCCATACTAGTTTGAAGTGTTTTGGCTTATATGTTTTATGGTTCTTCGCTTTATTGATGGAATGGAAGGTGAATCTTAGAAGGTGAGGGGAGTATAAGATTTTAAGGAATAGGGTAGATTTAACCCTATTGGTATGAGATTTCATGAGTTAAGTGCACTCATGAGTACTAAACTTTCATGATTGTTGCAGTTTAGGTACCCTAGTTGCAAAAGTTGCAGTTAGGGTACTCTAAACACATTCTGTTAAGTATGCGGTTAACAAAACCAAAAAAAAAAAAAAAAAAAAAAAAAAAAAAAAAATTAATAAATTAGCTGCCATAATTGCAAAACCAAGTTTTTATTAATTCCCAACCGTCAAATCAACACCAACTCGGTCCAACTGGGTAGCATTCTTTAAACAAAAAAGAAAAAAGGCAGCTTTGTCCAATTTAAAAAAAAAATAAAAGAAAAAAAAAATTTAAATCAAAAGGTCTTTCTTCTTGAAGATCAAGATTGCTAGTGCTCCATTCCAAAAGCTTCCACCGCACATTTTTTGTAACTTTTGCTCCCAGGTACTAAATGCCATTTTTCAATTCATAAAAGTTTGATTTAATTTTTTTCATTTTAATATAATTAAGCAATGTGAATAATTAAACACTAATTAAATATGTACTACAAGGTACTAATTGCCGTATATGTTTCTAAATTAAACTATTGCAATAAAAAAAAGAATTTTCTACATGAAAGTAAACTTACTTTTACTTTCCCCTGTTTTGATTTCTTTTAGCCATTGCTAAGTCTTGTAGGCCTTGTGTAGTGATGAATTGTGAGTGTTGTGATCCCATTTCAGTCTGTGACCAGTGGTACTCTTGGCTAAATGAATACACACTTTGCTCTCCTTCAAAGTCTGAGTAGACTGCTGATGGTCTAAGATGGTTTAAATTGAATGCAGGCTGTGTTATTGGTCTTGCAGGCTACACAAAATAAACATTAAATAATAGTCAGATTGTTACAAGTTAAGCAAAATTAATGAATAATGTAGTGGGCACTTACAGTTGCTATCCTCTGATATCCACTAGGATATGTGTATAACTATATTTTATCAACAACAAGTATTAAACAAATGAAATTACACAAATTACAAAAAGAAGTAAAAAAATTGAAAATTTATTACAGTAGCATACCTTTGGCGGGAGACAAGTGTGGTCCAAGCCATGGATTATTCTCTTCAACCATGATAATAGAGTGAAAAATTGGAATAAAAAACAATGAAAAAGGTGTAATTGAAGAAAATTGACTCAAGGAAGAGATTAATTTGGGAGTTGGAAGTAAAAATCAAAAGGCGGCATTATAGTGTATATATTGTTTCAATACCTTTCTGATTAAACTTGGAAGTTTTACATATTGGGCCAAATGAAGAAAAGTGACGGAACTTTAACGGTGTAAGTTTTTAGTACCCTTTTTGCAACTTTTGCAACTAGGGTACTCTAATTGCAACTTTTATTAAAGTTGAGTACCTTAGTGTGCACTTAACTGGAGATTTTATATCTAAAAGCCTAATTAAACAACAAAATAGATTTTTACTCCATCCCAACTCGTTCCAAAAGGTCCAATCAAATGGTCCCTTAGTCATTTTTGTTTATTTTGGTGAAATTTCGATCCTATTTATTGGTAAATTGGATAATATAGTAGGAACTTTCTAAGGTGTGCCCACGAGACACACTTAGAATCAAAAGATTCATTACTAATTTAGAATTTCCTGTTTAGAGTCCATAATTCTCATATTTTATTGTCTTTTTTTATAAGGGGATTCTTTTTCTTTTTTTCTTTTCTTTTCTTTTTATCATTGTTAGTTTTGGGGGTATTGTGTATCACTATTCACTAGATACACTCCCCGTGGTATGGTAGCTACTCAAGGTACCATTCCATTCGTTAATCTTTATAAGGAGTACGGACCCTTCTCCCTAATATCCAAGTAACCAACCAATAAATAAAAACATGACGAATAAACAGGCCATAGTAAGTTAGTAATTTGAAAAAAAAAAAAAAAAAAAAAAAAAAGGAGCCATAGTACAAGTCCCTTTCTTGGTGAGGGTCACTACACCTATATCGTTTAGTGTCAACTATTCTTGCCAATTGCCAAGTTGCCACAATTACTTAAATAGTAGTAACACATTGCAACAAAATGATTCATTTCTAACAATTGGAACATGAGCCAATCAAAACCAATTATTATGACCAACTTTTATTAAAAAAAATATATATAATACTTCATCTTTTCTTTTTTTATTCTATTTGGCTTTAAATATATTTTGACTAAAAATTAGAATATTTATTCATCTTTCATTGAATATATTTTTGATCAAAGGTGTCCATTAGAGTCTTAGAGATCATTAAATTTAAAGCATAGAGAATAAATATGAACGGAGGAAATACTATATATGGACATAAGGTGAAGATTTGACACGATGATGTTAAAAAACAAAAGGCGATTCTACGCAAAAAAAAATAATAATAATAATAATTTAAAAAAAATAAGAGTGGATCCAAACCCCAAAAAAAAATACATCAAGAAAATGATGTTCACTCAATTATGTCCACATATTTCATCACTTTGAACATCTTGCCCTATACATCCAAAAGGAATCACCTAATCACCTTCATAAAAAATACTACGTACTTTCAGAATCTTATCTAAAATCATAGCATTTTGACTAATCACATGATTATAATATGATTAATATATGTATAGATAGCACTAGTAATATGATATCTAATAGAAAAAATTATCTGATGTTTTATAGAAATCAATCACAACCCCCCTTTACAACCCCAACAAAACTAATCTAGTCATTATCATATCTTCATTACCATTGCCTTTATTCTCCTTCAAGCAACACTAATGATGCTATCTTTACTGCCGTCGAATCCTCGAAAGGTAGGGGATCGCCTCGAAGATTCCTCATCCAACGGTGGTCCTGGTCCTGGTCCTGGTCCTTGTGCGAGCTTAAGAGAAAGCAATGGCTCACATTCCCTTTCTTTAGGACTATAGGTTGACGTTGACGATGATGATGGTGATGACGTTGTTGGTAATTGGTTTAGATTAAGACATGCCATCTTTGAGGAAGGCGGGACCGGAAGTAATGGGAGCGAACGGCCTTGTTTGGTTGAGAATGCAGAAGGATAAGGAGATGGAAATGGTGTAGTTTGTTGAGTTGAGTCTAGGCTTGATAATTGACTCTCACTTGCTGATCGACTCACCTACAAAATAAAATGAAGTACGGTATAACAAAATGTTGTGATCGGTAACAATAATCATTCATCGACAAACAAAGTTATGTTACAAAGTAACACATCTTATATGTTCATTTCATTCCCGTAATATCAAAAAAATAATACTGTGTTACACTATAAAAAACTTAGATAACATAAGATACTATGTGTATATATAAAACGTACTCCGTAGTAGATAATATAGAATAAACGAATGATAATTGAGTCTCTCCCTCTTGAGTCGGCAATCGCCACTTCCACTTGTACAAAAATTGATACACAAATCACCAATATGAGAATAAATCATTATTAACAACTACTCCATTACTACTGTGGGAAACTATATCCTTTAGAAATGACTTATAAGAGTTATAACAAATGTTAAACTGTACAAAAGTGGTTGGTCTTCAATGTGACATAACTAAACTTGTTATAACTATTAAAAATAAAGATTGTATCCTTCGATACTTCGGATTTAATGAAGCATAATAATTGTATAATTTACCTACTAAATTACATCACAATTGTAATCAATCGTAATATGTTTTGTACTAGTAGTATTTTTAACAATAGATGGAGAGCAATAATGTGTATAATATCAAAAGACAATTTATAAATGAATGCATCATCATAATTTTAGTAGTACCAAAACAAACAAAAAAAAGTTTCAACTTTATATAGAAAGCTACTTCGGACCAAACACACACAAGTCCAAAATGTGATATCCTACCTGATTAAATCAAGAAATTAAGCAAATTTGTCAACCAAGCAAAACTAGAAAACAAATAAGTTGCTTACAGTGTCGGTAGTGATGTCAAAGAGACTCGATCGACGTCGACGGCGATTGAGATTGGTTCGCCGGAGGAAATACTTTTGAGCATGACTAGCAACTTGTGTTGGTGTTCTTGTCTTGACAAAGTTCCTTGATATCCCTCTCCAATCTCCTTTTCCTACCTTATCTAACCCCAATAAAAATAGCCTGTGCTCTTCTTCTGTCCATGGAATTCCTATGCATATATGCAAATAAAACAATTTGTAACGAAATCAATAAACCGAAATAATTTCATAATTTTAATGTAACAAATTAAAAGTAGTTTTCAATTGAAAATTTACACTATTCGTGATTTGTTAGGAGCTTCATAATTAATTATTTATTGATATTCAATTGTTATAATTTTTACTTTTTGATAATTAAAAATATTAAAAATGTTTCACTTAAAAAAAAAACGAGTACTAATATGTACTTCTATTTGAAGTACCTAAGAGAAACTCCGGTTCCGAACATGTTAAGCACCTAACACACCCAACCACATCAGGGCCGTAGAGGGATGGGACTATGGGAGGTCGATATGTAAAAAGACTACAGTGTGATTTAATTTTTCTTTTTTCATTATTTTATTTAATTGGACGGCACCGCCTTAATATAAACCGAGTAATCTTTAAAACATACATACATATTGTATTAACAATTCTTATCCCTTTTTGCAACTAACAAGTAAGATCTAGTAATATAACAACATCTAATCTAAAGACTAAAATTTTAGCTAAATGAAAATGGATTCAAACGCTAACATTATACGGAATTGTAATTAAACCACTCATACCAATAAACACTAATAACGTCTTCAAATAACTTTTTGACTTGATCAATTAATTAATTAATTAATTAGATTTTAATCTCAAAATTATTGATAGATGAGTAATCAATTATTTTAAAAAAAATTTAAAAAAAAAACCTCACGATTCTTCATTCTCACGTAATAGCCAAAAAAAATTAATACTACTAGATTCAAAAAAAAAAAAAAAAAAAATTACCTCGTTTGCGTTCGCGGTCACGGGTTCGAGACGCGGAAGCATGAAGAGCATCATCAGAATTATACCCAGAAGAAACAACATCCTGAGAAGAAGAATCGATATGTTGTTGCTGCTGATCTTGATGCTGCTGTTCGTATTGACATAGATTATTCATACTAAAGCTCTTTCGAAAGCCCGATGACGATGACGACGATGGAGAAAAGGGAGGAGAAGGAGATAGAGAGGAATCTACGGCATTAAATGTAACACCAAATAGCCTAAACCCCGTCGTATGAGACGGAGGTACGACAGAATGTTCCGAGCAAGTTCTAGCGTTGTGTCCATTGTGGCCGCACTGAGAACATGTTCGAGGTGATTTGGATGGCGGCGCAGTCATCTTTGTGGTGGATTTTTAACAATTTTGAGGATAAATATATAAATTATGAGAGGTTTTTTTTTTTGGGGTTTTGGGGTTTGGTTTGGTATATATACACAAAGGGGGAGGATTAGATGGGGTAAAAGTAAAGTTGTCTATAAAATTAAAATGGAAAGAAAAATGGGAGTGAAAAGGAAGTTTCGTGCAATTGTGATTTTAGGGATATATTAAAAAAAGATTTTGTCAATAATAAAGATTGAATAAATGAGTAATAAATAATAGATAAAATATAATTAACAAAAAGAAGAGAGAGAGTGTGATAGAGAGAAGGATGATATAACGTGTTTGTGAATTGTGAGATTTGTGACTTGTTTCTTAGTAACTCTAACTTAATTAGCGATTAATATGTAGGGGTGGGACTTCGGTTTGGCAGTTCGATTTGACCTCGGTTTGAGTCGGTTTCGGTTTGGAGCGGTTCGGATTGAAACGGTTTAGTTTAGCTGGCGGGTCGGTTTGGTTCGGTTTGGGTTAGTCACGGCTCGGTTTGGTTTCGGTTTATTTCTTTGCGGTTTAAATTCGGTTTGGGTCATAAACGGGTCGGTTTATAAACGATTCGGATTATGTCGGTTCGGTTTGATACGGGTCGGTTTAAGGGGCGGGTTTACCCGGGTCAATGTCAGTTCGGTTTACAAACGGTTTGGATCAAGCCGGTTTGGTTTGAAATGAGTCAGTTTAGGGGCGGATTTACCCGGGTCAATATCGGTTCGGTTTATAAACGGTGCGAATCATGTCGGTTCAGTTTGAAATGGGCCGGTTTAGTAGAGGGTTTACACAGTTCAATTGGTTCGGTTTATGAACGGTTTGGATCATGTCGGTTCGGTTTATAAGCGGTTTGGGTCATGAATTGAATTCATGATTGTTTTAAAGATCGCGTCATGACCATGATTTAATGAGTTGATACTTATAATACGATAAATCGATAATTAAGAATGTACAAATATTCAATTAGATTGATCAACAAGTGTTTTAAACTTTTAAGTTTTAATAATCAGATATGTAAATATGTTTATCGATTGTAGATTTGTAGTACATACCAATAATTCAATGAGGCAATGATACTTATGATAGTATGATAATGATACCAACCATACATTCGTACGATATGATATACATAATAATTAATCTATAATTACATATACATTAACAATATCGTATTGAATCAATTTCCATTTCCAAACATTGCATTTCTTATAAATTATAACTTACACGAGATTAAATGGATTCGTTATTTAGTTTGTTACTTTATTTAGATTACTAACTCAAACAACTTAATAAGTTAAATGGACGAAATCACGAAATCATGACCATGATTTAATGAGTTGATACTTATAATACGATAAATCGATAATTAAGAATGTACAAGTATTCAATTAGATTGATCAACAAGTGTTTTAAACTTTTAAGTTTTAATGATCAGATATGTAAATAACTAAATATGTTTGTCGATTATAGTACATACCAATAATTCAATGAGGCAATGATACTTATGATGGTATGATAATGATACCAACCGTACATTCGTACGATATGATATACATCATATACAT